TCCAAGTGCTTGTTGTAATGTTCTTTCAGCTGTTTTGACTTAACAACCATATCGTTCCACATACACTTCTACTTCTTTTATGAATCATGGTCATGGAAGATGGCGGTTGCCATTTTCTTTGATAGGGTGCCCTGGCATTTTTGAGCCAAAGGCATAACCCTGTAGCAGTAGGTTCCCCACTCGTGTGAATGATCGTTTTCTCTTTGTCTAGGCAAGTGCATCATTAATTTTGATTGTAATCCGACAGGCAAGATCGGTCAAGGAGACCATCTTCGTGTCCAGCCATTTATCCACCCAAACCAAGTCAATTATGCGGCAGGGGGAAAGTCGTCCTTCTGACATGCTTTATTCAAATCTCATGGTAATCCACACACATTCTTGACATTTGCCATCTTTCTTCGGCACCGGCCACAAATATTTTGCTAAAACCACGTCGGGTAGGCAATGCGGTTCTATGAACTTATTCTCCCGGTTGCTTTGGCTACTTCCTCCTTGATTTTTCAAGGACCATTCTTATTTTCAGCCTTCTTAGCTTCTGTCTTTACCGGCTTAGCCTTCAGGGTACACTGGGAATTCTATAGACCGCTATTGCCGGGTCAATTCCCCGTTGATGTCACTTTGCCTTCCACATAAGACAATCGGCAAACTTCTTTCAAGCATTCAATGACCTGCTCCTTGTTTCACACAGTTCAGATGCAATGTATGTATAGTTCATTTTCTTTCTTTGCCAATTATTACTTTTCTTTTTCATTTTTTATTTCACTTTATTTGATTTTCATTATTTTTTGCTTGAAATGCCTTGGGAAAGATAGACACGTGGGGTAGCCAATAATTTGCAAGCTCTTATTGATTAGGACGGAAATCGTCCTCAAAGATTACATCCAAATTTGAAGTTCTTGGGATTTTCTAAATCCACACAGACGACTCCAGAATGGAAAACTGGACTCTAACTCGGTTTTCAAAACTCGGGGTCAAACTCAGACTCAGTACAAGACTTGATTATTAGACTTTCGATCTTAGGTTTGGACTCGGGAGGTGGTTTATCAGCAGCGACGCTCCTCCTTGGCTACCAGTTGGTGAGAGGCTCTTTGTACAGCTTGATCAGCTCAGTGGGTCACTTGGTTTCCCATCATTTTCCCGTAATGACCGCACCTCGTCAAAGAGACTGCGGCTGCATGAAGGTCTTTCCACTTCCAGTCATTATTTGGTTTCGTCGCTTGTGCCCCAGACCATCAGAAAATATTTCTAACCCAGGCAGCATCTTCTTAGCACATCGGTCAGCAAATGGTTCTTAGAAGCCATGATAAGGAATCAATTTTCTCCCGGTTTGCAGAAATGACCATTCAAAGTCAAAAGTAAGGGCGCATCTGTATACTCTCCTTCCTTCCCCTTCCTGGTCGTCAGCACGGTCTTCATCAGTGCGGCTCATAACCCAGTCCCAAAGGTTCCTTTATTCACCGGGACACTCCCAAGCTTGCAGTGTGGTATGTCTTTCCGGACCTTCCATAATCATCCCGGCAGATTAGGGACATCTCAACACTCAAAGGCACTATGCAGTTTATTTGCCACCGTTCCTGAAAATCAAAGAAGGAATTCGAGAGTTTGCAGTCTTTCCTTCTATGAACTGGCACAGTGTCATTATTGAAATCCGAGAGGGGCAATTGGGCCAGTTTCAGGGTTGACCTCAAAGAGAGGCTGGCCCTTTGGCTTCTTGAGCTGGCTGTAGGTCATTCCCCTGAATAGTTGATAACTGTCCTCATAAGGAAAATTTGACCTTTTGGTGTGGGAAGAGGGCACTGCCTTAGTATGATTGTATCCATTGGTCGACCCAGAATTAGGTTTGGAAGCTTGTTGGCACATAATTACTTGGAACGGGACCTCCATCACAGCTGGCCCCAATTGTTAACTTCAAACGTAGCAACCCCCAATACTTTTCCCTCCGGGTGCTGTCATATGCTTTCCACTATCTGTTCAGATGGACTGAAATCTGCTTCTTCCAAACCCTAGACAGCTGCTACCCTAAGTGGGCAGATGATCAGTGCTGACCATTATCAATGAGAACCATGGGCACAGTTTTATCTCTGGTCTACAGTGACGTAAAGGGCATTTGTTGTGTCTGGCCTCCTCCTTGGGTAAGTCATCATCAGAAAACCCGATGCTTTGCATCTTGATGATTGGGGTGAGGATGGACACCAGCAGTCAGGGGCTAACCTCCACCGATGTTTGGAGTTGGACTCAAAGCCTTGCAAATAGCTTGGCGATGAGGGAAAGGATGATTTGCCTAGAAAGTTCCCAGATTGACACCCTAGCCTGGGTCTTTTTCAAACTGCGAGAGTACCGGGTCTTCCTTTGGCTCATCTGCCCCTCTGGTAAGGGTTATTTTGGACTTTGTCCAGGACTAATGGTTCATACTTGCTTCTGCTCCTGGTTATTGCATCGACCTTCTTCAGTTAGGTCATTCAGATCCAGGAAACACAAGATTTTCATTCTTTCTAGAATGATGTCGAAAGGATCGATTCAATTCCTTGTTCAAAAAACAATATCATTTACCCCGTTGATTTGGTAAGGGATTAGTGCTAATTTTGGCTACTCCTTGGAATAATTGAACCGTTTGTCCCACCAGGTCTTGGATGCGGTTTTCTTAAGCGTTCCAGCACGCTTTCAGTTCTTTGTGCCCGCTACCCTGATGGTACTCACAGTATTCGTCAGCCCTGTAATTCCTTGGTAATGGGTTGGGTGACGGCCTTTGCTTCCAAAGGCTTGATGTTAGTTTGCTGACAGCCTCTCGGAATTACCAAAGATTGGCATCCCGAGATCAGTATATGTCCTTCTCGATTTGACTGCCATTTCTAATATTTTCCCACATGTTAAAGGATTCGTTGGGGGTGATGCTTGCCACTTCGTGGACTTTGCTAGCTTGGCTAGGCTTTCTTGATGTTTGAGGGAACCCGAGTCTTCTTTCAGTTGCCCATTTGAAATTAAATCCTCTACTTTGTAGCAGTGGCAATGAAGCGACTGGAACGTCGGCAAGGTATTGAGTTTGTAGTTGTTCGTGGTAGACAGGCTACAGGTTCTCTTTATAATTATGTCACCTGTTTTGCTTCAGGAAGGCGCCGGTTGATCATTTGGGCGGCCTTGGCCCTCCACCTCATAAGGAAACGAGGAAAAGGGTTCGTTGTTCTTTCTGTCTGGTGGTTTCCAGTTCCCTCCGAATAACATCAAACCTCCATATTATAAGTGGTATTGACCATAATTAAACGCATTTGCAGATGTCTTCCCAGGTCTTCATTTTAGACCAGTCCAGGCTGACAAACCACACTCTCTTCTCTTT